TTACCAGATTTATGCATTATTCACCACAGTTGTTTATGTCCAGTTTGGCTGTTGTCACCACACTGAACATAGCTTATGGACTATGGATATTCTGGAAATGGGCATTCATTTTAATACTAGGTAAATCTGTAGTAGAGCCTTTTTCAGTGGAAAGCTTCAGGGAGGAAATCCTCTTTCATCTGAGCATGGCTAATTCGGATTATAAAATATGTAGCTCTGGGGTTGAGCTGAAAAGTGGTAGATGAAGAGGGGTTGAGAGTCTTTTTGATTACGTGTTGACTGGCTTCCAGTCCTGTGCCATCAGTTGCTATGTTTTCTGTTCTTGGGGAAGACAGCCCTTTGAACTTTGCTTGATGTACCTATGAAGTTAGGATTAATGACCTACCTTGCCAGGAGTTTGTTTTACATTAAGTGGTCAGACCTACAGATTGCCTTGCCTGGTCTTGCCCTGCAGAATGCAGTAATCATGCATCAAGGTGCAGTTAGCCCTCTAGGCTTGTGCTTTGTAAGGACAGATGGCATTTCTGTTGTGTGCACTGGTGAGTACTGTGTGCCTAGCACATTGCTTGGTCATAATGTTCAGAGAAAATATTGAATATTGATGAATTATCATTTCAGTGGGAAAGTTTCACTGGATAAGTTTAAAAAATAACTTCAGTTGCACTTGTCTGATAAAATGAATTAACTACAAATGAATCCTTTATCTGTTAGATAAGTCTAAGAACTCTCCTAATTTACCTTTGATTAAAATGTAGTATTTTATGTATTTAAATAATAAGATTGTTTCTTTAAAAATATTTATTTTTTTATTATTTACTTAGTTTTTTTTGCAAGGGGGGGGGTACCGGAGATTGAACTTGGGTCCTTGCACTTGCAAGGCAGGCCACCGAACCGCTGAGCTAAATCCCCGGCCCCAAAATATTTATTTTTAAAAAATAAAGTCTGTTACTTTCCTCAGGACTTTGAGTGTAACCAAAGGCAAAACACTTTTAAGATGTGATTATATTCTGCTTGAATTTTCTATATATTAGTTTTTGGTAAATATAAACGAGACCTTAGTCCATATATGAAAATGTCAGAAAAGTCTGCCTGCTATGAAAAGTGCTTGGGGGAGCCACAATCAGTTTCTTTGTGAAGCAGTGACTGTTTCGCTTCTGTTTCTGGTGGTCCTTCAAGTTAGGCCTACAAAAATTGAGTTTCTCTCTGTACTCCTCCTTCTCTTAGCTTCTTGAGTTGTGCCCTGTGTCAATCAAGGTCATGACCACCCAGTTACAGCTTTGTGAAGCGTTAGGTAGTAAAACAAAAACCTTAGTTTATTACTGTGTGCTTTTAGTACAGTATATAGTACATACTTAAGCAGTATTTGAAGAACTAGTGGAATGGACAGCTGAGACTGTCTTTCAAAACAGTCGCTCTTTCTGTAAGCTTAGTTCTGTTGGAAATGAGCCTGTCAGTGTGGTTGTATGTGATTTCCTTTTTTCCTTAAGTTTTAAAAATTGATACATGGTAATCGTATGTATTTATTTAGGACAGTATACAGTGGTTTCTAAGGCAAGCAACAGTTCATATGGGTCAGGGATTTAGCTCAGTGGCACTGCACCTGTCTCACAAGCACAAGGCCCTGAGTTCGATCCCTGGTACAAAAAAAAAAAAAAGAAAGAAAAAAAGAAAGATTTCATATTATTGAATTGGCATCACAGTATTTTTCTAGAAGCTGTGCCTGTGTTTTTCTTTGTTAGAGAGGGCAGCCCTAGCCGGGCGTGGTGGCGCATGCCTGTAATCCCAGCACTCTGGAGGCTGAGGCAGGAGGATTGCTGTGCGTTCAAGACCAGCCTGGGCTACATAGTGAGTTCTAGGTCAGTCTCAACTACATAGTGAGACCCTGTCTCAAAAAAAAAAAAAAAAAAAAAAAAAAGAAGCCTTGCTTATATAGCTGTTGTATAAACAGTGTTGTATGAAAGTACAGTAGGAGCCAGGCAGAGTGGCACAGACCCGTAATTCTAGCACTTTGGGAGGCTGTGGCAGGAAATTTGCAAATTTGAGCCCAGCCTTGGCAGTTTAGTGACATAGTGAAACCTTATCTCAAAATATAAAATGAAGGGCTGGGAATGTAGCTCAGTGTGAAGGCCCTGGGTTCAGTCCCCAGTACTGGTGGGGAAAACAAACACAAAAAAGTTTGGGGTGTACACCTGTAATCCCAGCTACTTGGGATTGTGAGGCAGGAGGATTGAAAATTTGAGGCCAGCCTAGCTACATAGTGAAATATTATCTCAAAATAAAAACAAGGCTGGGAATGTAGCCCAGTGGTGTAAAGACTTTGGGTTTGATCCCTAGTACCAAAAACCCCACAGAAAAACAACTCTCCTTCCCCCAAAAAACACCAAAAAATGGTAGGGTTACGGGGCTTACCTCCATATGTTGTGCAAAGACTAAATGTCTTTTGCATATGAAAATTTGAAGTTTGTAATCTTATTCCTTTAGTGTTACAGGTGGAATTAAATACCTTAGCTAGGAGCTGGGTGGACATGTTGGAAGAGGGTATTTATTTTGTTGTTGGGTATTTATTTGCCTCCTAGGCTAGGGATTTAGCTCAGTGGTTCTGTTGCCTGCCTGGAAAGCGCAAGGTCCCGAATTTGATCCTCAGTACAGAAAAAAAAAAAAAAAGATATATACCATATTTGCCTCCTCTCCTCAGTTAAATGCTGGTGGAAGATTTTTTTAAACCATCATGTCTGTTTTGCATGATGTGGATATCAGTTTAGAAGTGGCTAGGGAGGTACTCACCCAGGTGGAAATCAGTGAGGCTCCAGGAGCATCTTATGGGCTCCATTCCCTCTGCTTCTCAGCAGTCTGTTTTTACTGTTGGCTGTTGGACAGGATGGACCACTAGCACTTAAAGTCTTAGTGGTGCACAATTAGGAGGTTGGCTGATTCACTTTCTCATAACTTAATTGAATTTTAGGACTGTTAGAAAATCATTAAAGTTTTATTTAATTACATATATTGCCATATAAAATATTTACCTAAAATATTACTTACCAAGTTTGGTACCTATATGTGAATTGTTTTTTCTGAGGAGCATGAGAAAGTTTGGGACAGTGTGATATTTGCAAAGATCTGTGCAAGAACATTGAGGAAGCCCCTGTTCAACCTTGATTCCTTAGAACTGTAAATCTGTAATTTGTGTGTATAGTTCATGTGGATGTTCATATGAAGAACCAACTCGAAGTAGTTTCGTGAAAACAGAACTGTGAGAGAAAACCAGGAAAACTGAGACACTGTTATTATTTTCTGATTAGTAAGAACAATGATTTTCTTTGAAAAGACTCATTTTTAATGATTAATGTGTTTTAATGATTACTTTATGTGCTTATAAAAATAATGCCAAGTATTTAGAAATGCTTTACTAGGTTTAAAAAAATTTTAAACTCTTAAGTTTGAAGGAGCAGTGATTTGAATTTGAATTCTGATTAACCAGAAATTCATTTTTATTTTGGTGGTATTGGTGAAAAATATTGAACATACTGTGTACATTTGAGTGCAGAGTTGAAGTGAACTTTTTGCTTGGAATTTGCAGTTCTGGCGGGAGGAGGAGGGAATTGTGTGGTGGAGAAAGGTTTTTTACTGCCACCTAAGATACCGTCTGTGTTGTCACTGAACCTGTGGAATCAGGGACTGACTGGGCGGAAAGTTAACTTTGAGAAGCCAAGGATGTATTCTGTGTGGTAACCTTGGGAGAAAGGAAGGCGAAGAAAGTGATCATGAGAAACACATCCTCCATATTAGCTTCTTTCTTGGTGTTTGTCTTTAGGAAGAAGAGGGTTAAAAGAGGCTTAGAAATATAAGTAGTTGATTTTATTAAAATTTTGGTTTAGAGAAGTTGTTAGAGAGTGATTGTTTTTCAAAGATAATTATAAGATCCCTAAATAACAGGGGTTTTCTTTTGTACTGGGGATGAAACTCAGGACCTTGCGCTTGCGAGGCAGGTGGTGAAACAACTGAGCTAAATCCCTGGCCCAATAATGTTTTAATATTACAAAGTTTGCTTATTTACAATTTTTAAACAAATTTAAGTACAGAAGTTCTTATATTATATAAGTATTTGGATTTTGTGGATTTCAAAAATTCATGTAATACCACATAAAATTGGATTGGTTAAATTAAAAAGAAGTTGTGTGCTCTCTAGGACATTTGAAAGGCTCCATATTCAAACTGTTGTCTGAGGTTTCTTCTGATACAAGGACTGCTGGCTTTCAGAAGTTGCTATTCAGTCTTTTTTCACTTGTTTTAAACGTTTTTTTGTTTTTTTTTTAAACATGGTACTTACTAAACTGGTTTTGTGCCTAGAAATAATGACTATCTTGAACTTTATACTCTGTGCCTGTCCATTTTCCTCACCTTATGGGCATTTTGAGAATTTTAAAATTCATTTGAATGTACACTCTCTCTCTTTATAAAAATCTGTTTTTAAGCATTTGTCTATTTACTTTGTCTTCAGCTTTCCAAAATTAAACTAACAGTTTGAGAAAGTAGTGGGGTCTCTCTTTGGCTGCTCAAATCCTGTGACTGTTTCTGTATTAGATGTATCTGTGCTTCTAGCATCTCACATCGGAAACACTTCTGAAAGCCTGCTTTGTCCACCTGTGCTTGATTTTACTGTTTTCTTTATCTGACATTTTTGTTTTTATTACAAGTGAAGCATGTCACTGTTACTGTGCTTTGGTGCTGTGTCATATCTTAAGGTGGTTATTTTGAGGGGCACACACCATACACTTTACGATGGGACCCACACTAAGATGTGGAGCAGAAAGGTCACACGTTTGTTCACACTTTGATTGATGTGAAAGCTCAACTCTTAATGGCAGAACAACTTCTCTGAGATTTCAGAGACCATCTGCTGAAGGAGATTTTCAGATGCCTGCTTGTGTGCTGAGTGCCCCCAATAACCAGGGTATGAGGGGGCATTGGGCATGTTAACTTAAAACTGTTTTCTTTTTTAGGTCCACAACTCCCAGGCCTGTTGCAGATCTCCAACTCCTGCTTTGTGTGACCCCCCAGCATGCTCTCTGCCGGTGGCATCACAGCCACCACAACATCTTTCTGAAGCCGGGAGAGGGCCTGTAGGGGTAAGGAGAATCCCGTTTTTAAAAGCTATCAGTATTTTATATCCCATAGGGTATAAAATAGGAATATTGCCGCCCTCCCCAAAGCCCCTTTAAAAATGTGCTGTATTATATGTGTTTTTAAAGGAGTAACAAGTACATGCACAGAGGAAGCAAAATACGGGACTTGCCTTACCCCTCTAGGACAGTTCCAGAAGTTAGTGGGGTTTGGTGGAAGGGTATTTTGACACCAGCAGAGAGCATGCTGGGCTGCTGCAACGAGCAGGAGCTGGCAATCAGCAGCGAGTATGGATGTTGGCAACTGAAGTGGGGAAAAAGGGGGTAAGTTTGAGTCCATGTGTGGAATGTGCATTTCCCCAGGCTCTTTGGGCCCCTGGCTCACAAATCGAAATGGTTTAGGGTGCTGTACAGTCAGGGGATGTTTTATAGGAGGCTGCTTAGAAAGAGGGAGGCTTTACTACATTGTGCTGGATGTAGAATAAATACATCTAAGTCTTGGGCTTCGATGCAGCCCTGTCTCTCCTGGCTGTTCTCTGGTGATCCTGTGCCTTGGTGATGACAGGGCGTGGTGCAGTGCAGCGGGCTGCAGCTCCCAGAATGCAGGCTGGGTAATGATTCCCACGAGGGTCTTTTCTGTGCAGGGTCGCTTCCCTTTCAGGAAAGGTGTGTATGCACTTGACTTCCTTTCCCTTCCTGTAGGAAGACTTACAGCAACTTATGAAAGACACATGTAATGGTGTGAACCGAGTGTCTGAAACTTCTGTTACAACTAACGAAATGTAATCTGACCATGGAATGTACCTTCTTACAGAATCAGCAAATAACACAAGCGAACACACACTCAGTACAGGATAGTGTTGATCCATGCTGACCTGTTCAGTTGCAGTGTGTAACATACCTGTTGTGGCACTAAGAAGAGAGTCCTCCAGATGGGCTGCAGCAGTAGGGGGCAGAACTGAGAAGCTGGTGACAGGCAGATCTGGGGACGCTCTAAGGAGGAGACAGGACTTTCATCCTGTGTCACATGAAGAGGACCAAGCTAGCAGTGAAGGGCTGTTGGCAGTAGTAACAAGACCAAGAGTGTTGGTTACAACAGTGGCATGTTTATATAGTAGCTGTAATTACTCAAGAATCGCCCCCCCCCCCATAACCCAATTGGTTCACATTATAGAAGCCTCGGGTTTCTTGAAGTAATAGTCATGTACAAGTAGTGAGTAGAATTCTCATTTTCATCCCGGGGATGTAACAGTATATTGACATCCTAAGGGACAAAAAGCAGAGTCCTGACTGTCTACTTCTAAATATTCAAGTCGAGCATGGTGGCTCACACCTGTAATCCCAGCACTTGAGAGGCTGAGGCAGGAGGATTGCTGGAAGTTTAAGGCCAGAATGGGCCGCATAGTAAGACACCATTAAAATTTTTTTTCTGCCTTTATTATTTGTTCCTATGTGTTTCTAGGAAATTATTTTTCAACCTGGTGCTTTCTCTACTCTTTAATCAGGATGGTGTCATGTTAGATTGTTTTATCTGCCATGGTACCAACTAGCATTTGCTGAATGGATTTAAAACTTTGTCCATAACACTGAATTTTAGTAAACATTGTATAATAGCATTAGTGACGGCCAGCATTTATGTTTTAGAAGCAATAGTATTCATGTCCACTAAGGATGTGGATGAATTTCAGTGTAGTGGAGCACAGTACCATCACCTTAGGTGGTGTAAGATTCTGTAGTAAGGTGCTGACTCCCCTTTCAGTCGGGACGCTGCTGCACAGAGCTGCCGAGTGGGTTGTTCTGTGCCATGCTTTGCACAGCTACATTGTTCTTGCTGGATCTGAGCCGGCCCCGTTGGCAGAGCTCCCACCCCCATGTGCAGCGCTCTCATAAATTCCGCAGGCACACGAATCTAATACAGTGTAATGAGAGAGCTGCTGGGGAAAAAAATTGATTACAGGGTTGCAGACAATATCATTAACGTTTCTTGCCATGATACACCAGATGTCTTCACTAATAGACTATTTTTGTTAATTTCGTTTTTATAGGATAACATTGATTGCATCATAATTTAACTTTCTTTGCATATTCAGGTATATGTGATCTATATGTCTACACTAATGATGGCATAAACTCATCAAATTTAGTTTTATAAATTTTCACTTACTCATTTTTGTATCTGTGCTGGATTGGCATTGTTTTTACCTATTACTGAGAATTTGTTAGCATGGATGTTTTCTATCAGAAAGCGTTGTGTTCACTGGTGGGGTGGAGGGGATACAGGAGGAGAAAGGAAGGCACAGGTGCCATGGCCCAGCTCCTCTCCAGCTGGTCAGGAACCAGCACCCCGCCCCAGCTGATTAAATGGAAACCACGTGGCGTGTGTGACGGAGGGTGGAGGCTAAGCAGTGAAGCTGCTGCTATTTAAGGAGACCGGAGGGCACATTTCCCCGTTGTTGTGGATGTGGTCCCGCCGCAGGCTTACTTCTGTTGTGCCGTCTGCCATCTCACTGGCAGATCAAGGACTGTTCAGTGTCGTTAGCTTTGTAGGGTTTACATTTCTCAGCTCTTGTCTTTGTGTGTGTTTGTTTGCAACTCTGCTGAGTGGCTAACACACATGATTAGGACAGTAGTGTGATAGTGACCTGAACTGTTGAACTACTTAGTTTCAGTAGTTTTTGTTTATTCATGTTTGTTTGTTTGTTTTTTTTTGCTTTTTTGAGACAGTGTCTCACTGTGTAGTTGAGACTGACCTGGAACTCATTATGTAGCCAGGCTGGTTTTGAACTCATAGCTATCCTCCTGCCTCAGCTTCGAGAGTGCTGGGATTACAGGCCTGCGCCACCACGCCCGGCTAGTAATTTTTTTTTTTTTTAATTAGTTTTGGTTTTGGTTCATTTTCCTTTAGGGAACTTTTTTTCTCTCAACATGTTTCTGTGTCAAAACATGAAACTTTTCTATGCCTTCATCTTCATACTTTTAAGATGGGTATACAGCTACCCCCATCTCCAAGGGTTGTTATAAAAATCAGTTGAAATAATGCATTAAAATCACACGCATTGTTAATGATGGGAACGTGTGGTAAAAACTGTGTCCTTAGTTGATTCTGTCATTGTGCAGGTGGCCTGCTCTTCGGCGGGACTTACACAGACCTAGATGGGATGGCCTGCTACACACCTGGGCTGTATGGCATGGATAGCATGACACTCTTGGGCTTCGAGCTCTCCAGCCTGTCACTAGATGAGTGCTGGAGACAGTTGTAATGTAGTGGTTAGTAATTATGTATGCAAACATAGCTAAGCATAAAAGGTACTGTGGAGATACTGGAAGATAAGCGCTGCCCAGCTGTATTGTAATCTTCATGGGACCATCATGGTGTATGTGGCCCAGTGCTGCCTGAAAGGTTTGGGGCATGACTGTACTTAGCATGTAGCAAACATAGTGAGCAGAGCCTGTTGTCACATAGGAGTCCTGATTTCTACAGATTCTGGCTTAAAGAAATTGATTAGTTAAGTGTTCAAGAGGTGGTATGTATATATGCCCCTTTCCTAAGATGAGTGTAATGATTATGCATCACAAACAAATGCTAATAAAAAAGAAATTTATTCGGACTGGGGATTTAGCTCAGTGGTGCCACCACCTGCCTCACAAGCGCAAGGACCCGAGTTTGGGACGACCCCCCCCCCCATTATTAACTTTTTAGACCGTTCAAGTCTGATGTCCATAGGCTTTTTACTGGTCCCTGAGTTTAAGATGGATTGTGAACTTCCGATACTGCTTGCAAAGTCCTATATGTATGTGCACTTTCCTGGAAAGAGGCTCTGTAGTTTTTGACCCTGGATGCTAATAAATAGATTCATATTGAAAGTAATTTAGAAATTAAGACTGAGAACTCTGTGCAGAGGCTCTGCAGTACTTTCTTTCTTTTTCTTTTTTTCTTTTCGTTTTGGTTTTTTGAGACGGGGTCTCACTATGTAGTTCAGATTGCTCTGGAACTTCCTGTGTAGCCCATCTGGTCTCGAACTCACAGCGATCCTCCTGGCTCAGCCTCCTGAGTGCTGGGATTACAGGTGTGTGCCCCCACACCCAGCTCTGCAGTACTTTCTTTAGAATTTTAGAGTCAGCTTCTGTTGGGGGGGAGGGAAGTAAACAGGGCATTGCCTGTTTGCTATGCGCCCAGTACTCTGCCAGTCTCTTCACTTAGTTTAATCCATCTAAACCCCACAACAGCCAGTGATGCCTACTCCATTTTGCAGACCAGAAGACTTTAGGCCCACATTTGAATAAAAGTCTTGCCTTTTGGAAGTGGCAGGACATGGCCTCTCCTGGATCAGTTTTGCTGCCTCTGTGGCTGGTTTCTGTGCTGCCACGGCCGTCTTTGTAGTGGCACCTGCTTTTGCCTTCACTTTCCTAAGGAGAGCCCTGGTTAGCCTGTGGCTGTGGTTAAGTCACTTATAAGAGAAGGTGGCTTCTGCCAAATACATGGGGCGGCTCTTACTCTGAGTAAGTGCGGTACTGGTGTTAGGTCCATCCTCTGCCCTCTTTTTTGCTGTATAAATGATTGAACTCAGGGCCTCCTCACTGAGCTATGTCCCCAACCTTGGCTTTTCTTTGTTTGAGGTATTGTGGGTGGGTATGGAACCCAGGGCTTTTGCACTTGACCTACATTCCCAGGCTTTTAACAATTTTTTTTGGAGACAGGATCTCTCTTAATTTCGTAGGCTGGACTTGAATTTGTGATCCTCTTACCCCTGCCTTCCAGAGTGCTAGAATTACAGGTGTGTGCCATCATGCCCAGATCTAAGACCCCTTTTTAATTGTTTGCTTGCTTGCTTGGTATTTGAGAAATGGGGATTGACTACCACTGAGCTACATTCTCATCCTTTTTTTAAATTTTATTTTGAGGCACTGTCTCACTCACTTGCCAAAGCTGGCTTCAAATGTCAGACTCCTGCCCTAGCCTCCTGAGTACCTGAGAACCCTTTTAAGTGGCAGCAATATTTTTTTTC